ACAACAACAACAACAACAACAACTATCATCACAACAACAACAACAACAACTACCACCACCAACAACAATACACAACAATACACCACTTAAGGTATTTCCAAGAAACATCAGCTTCGATTGTTCTGCACCTTTATCGCCAAGTACGCCCACATCTCTTTATAATAACTCTTTTCAAAGTTCACCATTAGTCAGGTAATAATTATTGTTAATTGTGAAATTGTTGTTGTTGTACGTTTTGCTTTTTTTTTTTTCTCTTTCTGTTTTGATATTTTGTTCCAATATACTTTTCTTCTTTTTTTTTCTTCCCTTTTCATCATTTTTACACTTAACGTTTCCTTTTCATTGTTTTGTTTCTTTGCGTTAGTTTTCTTCCTTTCGTTTACCCCTTTCGCCTTTTCATTCAATTGTTTTTATTATTGTTCAATTGTTGTTGTCGTTGTAGTTATTTTCAATTTGTTTACTATTTGTAAGAAAACTTATTGCAATAAAAAAGAAAAAAAAAGAAAAAAAAAAAAAAAGAGATGAACTACGTTATGTCTATAATATTGCAGCGATAGCAGTAACTCATCATCAGGTAATGGTCTACCATTAGAGTCAATATCGTTAGCCTTACAAAATGGTTACAATAACGGTATTAATTCAACCCGGTCAACATCACCGGAAAGCCAGAATAGCAATCAATCAAATGAACATAGTCTCCTTGACATGATGGTGAGTGTGAAAGTGCAAAATATTGCGAGATTTCGCTATGTTTGCACGCGATTTGTATCTTTGCGTATTTTCCTTTTAGAAATTCTTAAATATTGGCTGCAGTCAACAACAACAACAGCAGCAGCAGCAGCAGCAGCAGCAGCAGCAGCAGCAGCATCAACAAAAGCAGCAACAATTTCCGCCGATTCCAGCAAAAGTCAATACTACCCAGCAATATCAGTTGCAGCAATATTCACAGAAACAACAGCAATTATCCCAACAGCAACAACAAAAGTTACAACGCGAACCATCGTATTTATTAGATACCGCCGATTTCGGGACATCCATGAATATAGGCACAAGTTCGCCGCGTTTGAATTTATTCGATGATCATAATTTGGAGAACTTAGAGCCTTTAACGGCTTTTGACATGGAACTGACAAAATTGCAAACTTTAAACGCTGTAACGCTGTTACAAGCTCAACCTCAACAAGTACCCCTACTGCATAATTTACTACAAACGTACAATACTATCAATCAGGTAAAGGAGTGAAACAGAAAAAAAGTGCTATTGGAAGTCCGTCCAATAAGAATAAAAAGAATGTCTTTACAGCTACAAAATTGGCAACAGCAACAACAGCAGCAGCAACAACAACAACAACAGCAACAGCTCCAGCAGCAGCAACAACAACAACATCAAAGTCATCCCTTAACTAGTAATAACACTAACAGTAATAATCAATTGAGTTCTAATTTAAGTAGTCCGGGTAACAGCAACAATTTATCGGACGCGTATTTAGATCGTGTTGCAAAATTTTATCGCGGTTCGGCTGCATTCTGCGAGCCAACTTGCACTTGGAGTGGCCAATTACCGCCTCGTTCACATCGTCTATATCAATTCTCACCTAAACTTTTTCTAGGTGGCATCCCTTGGGATATAAGTGAACAATCGTTAATACAGATCTTTAAACCTTTCGGACAAATTAAGTGAGCACACACTATAAACCCCAATAACCGTAAGCGTTATTGCTTTCATTTCTCATTTATTATTTGCAGAGTTGAATGGCCAGGAAAAGAGCAACAGGCCGCTCAACCTAAGGGCTACGTTTACATAATATTCGAATCTGATAAACAAGTGAAGGCTTTACTATCCGCTTGTGCTGTCCAAGTTGATGACCAACAAAATGGTGGAATTTTCTATTTTAAAATTTCCTCACGACGTATTAAAGCTAAAGATGTAAGTTTGTGCAAGCGACGGCCATAATTATTATACATTCATATTACCTTAGCTAAACTAAATGGAAACGGTAATAGGCCAACAAAAAATTTATTTCTTCTTATTCTTTTACGTTGTAAGGTTGAAGTAATTCCATGGCTTATTGGCGATTCCAATTATGTCAAGTCTACTTCTCAGAAATTGGATCCAACAAAAACAGTTTTTGTGGGTGCTTTACATGGCAAATTAACTGCCGAGGGTTTAGCCAAAATTATGGACGATTTATTTGATGGCGTAGTATACGCAGGTAAGTATCATAAAAATTTTAACTTTTTGAAGAGTTTAGAGAAATTAATTGGTGGCAAAACTTAGTGGTTATGCCGAAGATCTTTATCATAGAAAACGTTGAAAGAACTTTGATTAAGCTAATGAATCTGATAAGAAAGAGATCTAATCTCACTTCTTCATTGTTGCGCCTATTTGTTGGCATTTCTGTTGCCGCAATTCTCAGCTTGCAAAAATTGAAATGGAAAAGTGATAAGAAGTAAGAATTTTCTCTTCAGATTTGAATTTTTTGTTTTTATCTTTCTGCCCTCGCCTTTGAGTCTTTTGAGGCTAATAAATGCAGGTTTTTGACTCGCTTCTTGGCAGCAATCTAACAGATATCGGTGTCAAATTTCATGCCAATATTTGCAGCGGTTAGCGCAGCTTAAGCTTACTTAAGCTAGCCTTAGCGCGTATTCGACTTTTTTAAAAACCCGTAAGATATAAATAAGAAAGTCTGACCATTTTTTTGATCGTATCACACAGTGTATAAAACTCGAAAAAAAAAAACATTTTTAAATTTCTATTCTAACATATTCCATCATTGTACCTATTACGAGTCCATTGTAGGACCATGTAATCTCGTCTAATGAAATCTCTTCTTAAAAAACGAATTTACTTAAAGAGAAGAGAATAAGACATTGAAACCATAAGTTCTACATCCATACAAGATGAAATTCATTTTATTTTTTTATTATTTAATGACTGAAAACTTGTTAGGAATAATGCTTGTAAAGGGAACGAAACATTCAAGAGAAACTATGATGTACATAGTTGGCGAGGATAAGAGTGAAATAATGATCCCGGAATATTGTTATTTCATGTATTGCTATCTTTTGAAAAAATTCATAGAATTTTATTTCATGAATGTACATTCATTCATATAAATAATATTAAAAAAAAAAAAAAAACGTGAAAAATCATAATTTCAACTTAGGTTAAGTAGTCCAGAGTAGAGCTTCACATTCAACGGATATGTTTCCATATGGCATTTTATTTTTTTTATAAAATCCGTAGTTTATTGAAAAAGTGATATTTAAACCAATTAATGCCGTAAAAGCAATTCGAAGATAAAAAGTCCCATACTTTACAATGCTTTCATAATTCTATCCATACTTTATACATTTACCTAGAACTGCACATATATATAGAACATGCAACAAATCAACTATACTATGATTTACCAGAAAGTTGCATTAGCCCATTGCCAGTAGTTGATGTCGCATGATACCGTAATCAATCCATCAAAAAACGAGAAGACCTTTACCTACTTATTCCCCGTACATCTATTACTATTAAAAATGAATGAATGTCGACGTATAGGTAGAAATGCATTATTTACTTATACTTAAAACATTATTATGTCTGGTGTTATTTTGATCGGACAACAAGTGCTTTTTTTAGATCATGTATTCAACTCCAAATACTTGGCTTACATCGATTTATTTTCCCAATTAATCAATTTTAAAAAATATTTTTATTACAAATTGTAGGAATCGATACTGATAAATACAAATATCCAATTGGTTCAGGACGTGTTACTTTTAATAATAATCGCTCTTATATGAAGGCAGTGTCGGCTGCTTTCATTGAAATACGTACAGCGAAATTTACGAAAAAAGTGCAAATTGATCCATATCTGGAAGATTCGTTATGTTCTATATGTGGTGTACAACACGGACCATATTATTGTCGAGAATTATCATGTTTCCGGTAAGTATTATATCGGTTTACATACCATGCATACATATTTATCGTAATTTATAAATATAAACAATAGATATTTCTGTCGCACTTGTTGGCAATGGCAACATTCAACGGATGCTGTCAAATATCATAAGCCATTGACACGTAATTCAAAATCTCAGTCATTAGTAGGCTTAGGGCCTGCTTCATCATCAACCACCTCTTTATCATCATTAACTTCACCGAATATAGTTAATTATGGTAATTTGCAGCATCAACAACAGCAACAACAACAACAACAACAACACCAACAAGCGCAACAACAATCATCACAATTAGTTATGCCGCAAGTGCAAGATACACCGGCTGGTAATATATCACAAATACAAATACAACAACAACAACAACAACAACAGCAGCAGCAACAGCAAAAAACTCAAATACAAATACCGTCAACCCTTTCATCGGCAGCATTAACAGCAGCCGCCCAGCAGTTGCAACACTTACAAAACTCATTCCATTTGTAAGCAAAGCAATCGCTTCTTAAGGGTGTAATTTTAAATGTAATTCGCGCGTGTACGCACTTAAAGTATGTAAAGTACGATAACAATATAAAGAACAACAACAAACTGCTATATATATATATACTAACTATGATATAACAGAATTATAAAAATATTAATTTTTCACATATTAATTAATATCAATTTATATAAATAATTTTGTTTTGTTTTTGATTTTGTTTTTGTTTTCTTATAGTTTTATTATTTTTTTTTTTCATTATCTAATTTTAAAGGAGAGAAAATGATCAAAGCGTGCTTCGATCGTATTGAAATTTATTTAGAATATGATGATGATTATTCTAGAATTTCTTTTGTTATAAAAACATATCAGCACTTATTACGTCATGAAAGATGGCTTTCAGTTAAAAAAAATATGTTCCTTATAAGTTATATATTTGAGTAGTGTTTAATTAACTAATTTGTACAAATATTTTCCGTCATTTGTTTTTCTCTCTACTCTGCTATTATTTAGAAAACAAAAAAAGAACAAAAAAAAATAAAAATTTTTCTTTTTTTTTTCTAAATATTTAGTTTAGATATTTCTTTTCTGGTCATAAGTTTAAAAAAAATATATTTTGAAAATCTCAATTTTATTTTAAATGAATAAAATTGAAGAATTTTCTTATAAAATATTGCAAAGAAGAAAAGAAAAATTATATATATATATATATCAAATAAGGAAGGAGAAAATTATTACTACTTTTTTTTTTTTTTTTTTTTTTTTTTTTGTTTTCGTTAATACATTGTATTATATTTTGCTGTGAATTATTGTTCTGCCTCATATCTCAGTTTATACTTAATACTGTATAATTTATTTAATTATTGTTTTTTGTGCTTAAATTGTTTTTCCTTTTTTTTGTTTTTTCTTCGGTTGTGTTTATTAATTTTTTTTCTTTTTGTAAATCTATTGAAGCATGTTTTGATTGATGTTTTTTTTTTTGTAAACATTTCTTGAAGAAATATAAATATTTTTTTTTTTATGGTTTTGTAAAAATTTGAATTTTGTTTTTATTTTAATTAAATTGGAAAAATTTTGAGCAAAACGAGAACAGACTGCAAAGGGTAATATGTGGTAATAAAGTTTACGGTTCAGTTTCCTTTTGCCTTTGTTGGCAATAACGCGTACTCTAAAGAGTTTTCCTCTGGACTAACATGCACTAGTGCCGTCATACTAATATAAAATTTTTCTATTTATTGTCAAAATATAGGTCAAAAAGCTTCAAAAGGCGGTCTTGTCATTGGGTGGTAGGTGGGTTAAAGTTTACCGTTTTTCTGCTGTACATAAGCATCATTTATTCTAAAGTCAAACAAGAATAATATCCGTTCAATTCAAAATAAGCTCAAACCCAAGACCAAAATTATTTGTTTGCTTAAGGGATCATATGCTTGTCATCTTCGTTAAACCGCTTTAAGTATGTATATATAGTAAGTGATCCACTGAAGTAAACAAACGTAACATTATTTTAAAATGAAATTGGAATAAAATTTTTCGAACTTATACCTCAATCTACCTTGTCAAAATGGATGATATAATTGGTGTATTTTACTTCTATATAAAACTGAAAAAAAAAATGCCGGTAATTTACAGGAAAAAGCGCAGCCGGTAGGATTCGAACCTACGCTCCCAGAGGGAATCTGATTTCGAGTCAGACGCCTTAACCACTCGGCCACGACTGCTTTTATGGCTAATGGACAAAGCAGTAATTTATTCAAAAATACCTTTAAATTTATTTTACTTAAAATTGCTTTTTATGTTCACTGCTCTACGGGTTGACAGTATTATATTCATTTTACTAAAACATTTGCAGCATTCAGAAAACAGCCTTGAGAGATTCCGTAAACTTTATATGGGCTTGACTCAGCTTGGAATTTGAGATGAAAGGTTTTGCTGTTGCAAGTTAGGTACAATCAAAGGGCACGTTGCAAAATAAGCTGAGCTTTTTGGTTTTCTTCCTCATTACTTATAAACTACAACAAGCACATGACGACAATTGACTGACATAATCATATTAGTCAAGCTCATCCAATATTAAAGAGGAAGGAAATTTGTTTTTTTCATCTGCGTTTTTTAAGACAGGTGTGATGAGTTTAAAAACATGTATAATTTTTCACTTGTTTGGTAGATTAGCTTTCCCCCTTCTATTGATACATACTAGAAGAGGTCACACAATCATTTTTCTATTATTTTAGATGCAAAATTGAAAAAAAATATTGAACTAATTAATTATTAACTGATAGCTTTTTAAAAATCTTTCATAAATTGTATATTCCATAGCCTTTCGTTAAGTTCTTGGTCTGTTGCTAATCCTATGAAAGTTTTAAAAACAAATCTTTCCGCACCTCCCAAAGACAAAAAGTGGTTAACTGTGGTTTTAAAACTCGATAAAACTATTTAATTGGAGGTTTACTTTCACAATAGTTCGTCGCGAGATTCTAATTCGCACAAGCTGGTCTTGTGCAAGTTGCGTACGTTTGACGCAATTATTGATTTGACTTGCAATACATGCAAGCTTGATCACTTATGTCATCAACCACGATGAAGCAAACATGATTTGATATAACTGAGAATTTGTGTTTTGCATTTTTCCAAGGGAAGCTTAATACTTGAAGTTTTGTTAATCAAGTTCGTTGAATATGTTATTGAGATCAGTGGTATATTACGCAAATGAGTTTAGCAAGCAATAACTACTTGGAGAACGGGAAAAAAAGCTGGTGTACAACACCTCTGAGACGTGAACTAATTGTTTAGCGCAAGAATAGCTGATTACTTTTTCTTAATTGTACAATTGTGTTTTGCTTGCTTTTTTTTTTTAACAATTCTGAGTTGCATTTATATTTATTTTTGTATTTTGACAAGTTTTATTAATAATTTAAATATTGAGAACTCATTTCTTTCTTTCTAAGGAAATAAGAAATAAAAACAAAAAAAAAAATAAATTACAAAATATGAAAAGCGACTTTAAATACCAATTGAATTTACTTTAAAGTATATAAAGTGTAAAGTATTTTTATTTATAAATTGCACATTAATTAATTATGATTAGTTTTTGATTATAATTTAATCCACAGCATACAGGGATTTTAAAGTAGTAAAAAATGAATATTTTATTCATAATTTAGTATTTTATGAAAAACTACACACAAACATACGAACAACAACAAAAAAAAAAATCAAACGAAAAGTGAAAAAAAAACGAGTTAAAAATTCAATAGAGAAATACATAAATGCCTCTTAACTATGGTTTCTTTTGTGTAGTTTTTTTGTTATTCCGTAGGTTGCATCCTCTACAAAAATTTTTGTTTTATCAAAAAAAAAAAAAAAAAAGGGAAAAAATCAAAAATAAAAATAAAGAAAGTCCGCCTTAAGGCGACACGGAGCTATCCACTGTCTGGCGCATCTGTTGAAGAATTGAGACAATTTTGACATTACTTTGCGCAAAGAACTTGCGATTGATTTCTTTGCTTTAAACGACGAAATTTGTGAGATGGAAATCCTTGAAATCTCTTCAAATATATTTCATATCATTTTTGTAGGACATGTCATGATCTTTCTTCAGACTTAACCTATTTGAATTTCAATTAGAAAAATTAGATAAATTAAATTTCAGCTTTTGTAGAAAATTATGTCATTTCTAGAAAACAAACAAACAAACTGAAGGACATATATATGCTACGATAAACGAATTCTCCCACGTAATGTTTCTCAAAAAGTAAGTAAATCATGTTTCAATTTCTCTTCGTCTTTCCTTCGCCTTACTACAAATGATATGATAAAACTACTACTTTCTTACTCTAGCGGATGGTGGATATAAAAAAAAAAAAAAAAATGAATAAAATAAACTAAAAAACGAAAATTCGATAAAAAATCAACACTTACTCATATATACCTACATTTTATAAAACAAAAAAAATAAATAAATAAATAAATAATTTTACAAAGCCTTTTAAAAATTATGCATTAAAAATCGCTTTAATTATAAAAATGAATGAAACAAAACCAAATGTCTATACGAAAATGCAATAATTACTGAATAAAAGCTAATAAATATAATAACAATGGTAAAAGAAAAAAAAACCACATTAACGTACACCCAAAGTTATTTAAAATAATCAAAGATATTTATTAAACAATACAAACAAGCACACAACATACCTACACATAATAAAACTCCAAAAAAAAAAAAAAAAATAATAATAAATAAATAAATAATATAAATAAATAAAAATAAAAATTTATATATAAAAAAATATATATAAAAAATTATGGTGCTTTAGCTAAATTATTTTACAAGAAAAAAAAAAAAAAAAAAAGAAAAAAGCAAAAACAACAGAAGACTTAATCACAAACAAATATTAATTAATTATTGAATGAATTTTTAATATTATTACACACAAACAACAACACACTTATATATTGAAATTGAAAAATCATTAAACTAAAAAATTCAAAAAAAATTTTTTAATAGTTTTTAAAACTACCAATACCAATACTACAACAGCCAAAAAGGAGAAGAAAAAAAAAGACAAACTATGACAATGGAATTGTATACGTTAATAAGTGTATGCATGTGTATGCATAAGTTAGAAATAAATTGTAAGAGCATATTTTTAAAACAAGCATTAAAAAACCCCTTCATGCTATAAGTTAATTACATAACATGACACGCTCTGACATTATGGTAATGCATTCGTAACGAATACTTGGAAACAACAAAGAAACGTACATCAGGTCATAATCGCTTGTGCTTGTGAATCGCAGTCACTTTTACTATAAGCAACGAATAAACGCAAACACTTTGCCAAATTTCAAAACTTAATATAATTTAGTTTGTAGAAGACCAAAGTAAAGTAAAATACTTTGAAAGTCACCATCGACTTGATCGGCGAAACTCCCACTCTCTCTCGGTCATGTCTAGCAGAAAAGTAGAGATATGATGAAGCTAAATTTGCTGGCTAAACTTGGTCTTGCTTTGCCCTAAAATCGCCGATTGTTGGGCATGGGGCGTTGAGAAAGGTCAGTTGAGTAATCGGAGCCCTTTTGAATCCCTGCCGCGGCAAGAAACTGAGCAAACTGACCAAATTAGATTCATTTTTTTTTTTTTTTGGAATCTTCCTTTTCGAAAGTATGGAGGCGGTGAAAAACCAGCTACCTTATGGCTTATAATTGAAAATCGTTCAGTTTTTCCAAGTTGAGTGGGTAAGGCTTTACCAAATGAAACAAGTATAATAAGAACATTGTATTCCGCGATCGAGTCTTTCATATCCAAAACCAACATTTTGATAAAAAAGAAAATCGTAGTATTTTATAATATTAAATAGGCGTGGCCGATTTATTCTACATAAATCCCAGCTTTTCTCGTTGTATCTATTATAGTTTATAAGTAACGAGCAAAGAAAGGACATTTTTTTTTTACTTTTGGATATAGTGCTTATAGGTTATGTTATACTGTGGTCGTGTCGTTTCACCGATTTGGCTCATCCTGCGCGCCTTCTCACGTTTGTGTGCAAATTTGAAGCCGAATGGGCGAATTCTTGCGACAAGGAAAATATTTTTCTCAAACGTTACAAAGACGGACAGACAAAGGGACATGCTTAAATCGCCTTAATATATATTCTAAGTGGCTCCATCTCAAGTCCTTCCGAGTGCTGTATATATCCGCATAAATATGATTGATATATAATCTTATAAGCAGTAGTATAGAGCACAGAAAAGTATTTGCGCTCAAAGTTTTGCTTTTAACAAGCAATGAGGATCTTTGCTGCAAAAGAACAAAATCAAAATCAAACCCGAATAATCCGAGTCAGATCATGTTCAGCACGTTAATGCTAAGCTCGCCTTTTTATTCAGACATTCTAGTTTCCATACGGCTTATTTACTAGTCAGTAAATGGGTGATGAACTTGTTTGAAAAGATATGCTCTACAAACATATAAAGAACGTATGAATTGCTTACCCACCATAAAGGGGTACAAAAATATTAAAAAAAAAAAATAAATAAATAAAAAAAATTAAGAAAATAAAAAAAAAAGGAAAATGGTTTCAAAAGTGATTTAAAAATTGTTCTATCATCGAAGTCTCTTGCGTCAACCATATAAGTAAAAAAATTTCAAATTCTTATAAACTTTAGAAGATTTCGTTGACAAAGTCTTTCTCAGTTCGATAAAATGAAAAATGAAATTAAATTATATTTGAAATCTTTTTTTTTTTTTTATTCTTCCGAAACCTAAGGAATATGATGAACCAGAACATAATTTATTTAAAATAGGAAATTATTATGAAAAAAAATTTTATATAAAATTCTCGATTGCATTTATAATTAAATTGACAAAAAAAAAATAAAAAAAAAAAAGTGAAAAATATATAAAATCCAGTACCTTATGATTATTATTATATTAGTTTTTCTTTTTTAATTATTAATTATTAACAAAAATTTTAAAAGATCACATCTTTTGTATTTAAAAAATGAAAATGCAAATTGTAACCTCATATAAGTGTTTTAAAGATAATTTATATTTTTTAAATATTTTAACGCAAACACGCATTCCTAGATAATAAATATTTTTATGTAATACAATTAAATTAAATTTCCATTGGTTTTTGTGTGGATTTTTTTTTTTTTCTTGATCGACATATTATTCTAATTAAATTAATTCATCTTTTCGGCTATTAATGTTATAACATAATATAACGTAAAAAGAATTCACTCTCTTTTTAAAGTTCTTGTACTCAAAAATTATAATTAATAGGCATACATTGAACGAAAAAAAAGCAAAAAAAAAAAAAAAAAAATTAAGAAGCATTTTATATGGTGTTGTAAGGCACTCTATACTTTTCTGTTTTGTTTCTCTTTTTCTTTTTTTTTAGAAAACGAATTTTTAAAACAGAAAAAGCAAAGGAAAATAATATATATGAAAAGCATAGTAAACGGGAAAAAAATATTTTAATAAAATAAAACTTAAAATGCAAAAACGGAAGAAAATTGAACAAAAAAAAACTTTTTAAAAAGCAATTAAAGCGCTTTGGCGTAAGACGAAATTCTTTGTTCTTTTTTTATCTTAAATTTTTCTCAAATAAAATATAAAATCTCAATATTAAATTAAATGAAAAAAATTAATTTTAATTAATTAAAAGCAAAAAAAAAAAAAAACGAAAAGAAAACATTTTATAAAAATTTTAAAAATTAATAAAAGAGAAAAGTTGATTTTTCATATTCGCATATTTTCTTAAAAAGAATTTTAAAACTTCATTAAGACCAATCAATCAATCAACAATCGATTCATAATAAAATTTTGTAAAATTTAAGAAAAAATGTATTTTAAATTAATATTAAAAAAAAACAATATGAAAGTAAAACACAATATTCATATAAGTTATAATATACTTATATATATAATATAAAAAAAATGAAATTAATAATAATAATAATAACAATAATAACGAGAACAACAACAACAACAACAATATGGAACCAAAATCAAACGCTTCCCACTTATAAACGATAATACTAAAAACCAAAAAAAAAAAAAAAAATATTTTAAACCAGCAAAAATTATATATAAAATTTTAAAAGCACACTACTTAACATTCATGCATACATTTACACAGGTACACATACACACATATATACATTTTATATATATCTTTAGCTGAAAACTATAGTTTTACAGTTTTCTTTACACATTCACAACCAATTCATTGTTTATGAACGTGCGCTATGTAATTATCATTACAAAGAAGTTTCACTGACAAAACGAATACACTCTCGGCTTTCACATTCTGATAGCGTCTCGCCAATTTAAAATAGAGTGATGATGAGATTAATTTCATGATAATCCGAAAGGAGAGACTCATAACATTTATTATATGAACGATGGTTATCAAGCTCTTCCTTTCCAGCTGACGACAATGCGTTAAAGTTTGCATATATTTCCTCAAGGATATCATCTTTCTTTAAAATACCATGTACTCGAAGAAAGCCCCAGCGATTCTAAATACTTGAATTAAGAAAGAAACGCCTTAACTCAAACCAAGTGAATAAAGGAAAGAGAATTAAGTCAAAGGAATTATTTCTCTGGGTTATGTTAAAAGTCCTAACCTTGTTTATAATCTAGCAAATTTTCCTTACTTTTCCTTTAATAAACTCAATAAATGTGGGTTTATTTTTAAAGCAGTGTAAAAAGTAGCGAAGGGGCTTGTTCCTTATTCCAAAATGAAGGCTCACTCTAAAAGTAAACCTTAAAACTCTTTTATTCTTATAACCGAGAAGAAAGGCTAAGAAGTGCACACCTTCAGACATCTAGAAAAGGGCAATAAGGAGTTAATAATAAATACTTTGACTACCTCTACAAGCGATCCCCATAATGCTTGCAATCATTACAACTTAGAAAATCAAGAAACTTGTAAAAGTTGAATGACAAATTTAGAAGCAAATGCTAGTGGAAGCTAATGGAAATTTCGGTTCTTCATAGTTTTACTGGTTTTTCAGTAAACACATTCACATTAGACGATTTCATTTTATTTATTTTCTTTTTTTTTTTTAAAAATATACGACTTTATTTGATTTTTCATATTTAATTTTAAAAAAGTCTTGTTTAAATATATATATATATATTGACAAGGATTATTAAAAAACATATATATATAAAGGCTTTTTGCAAAGTTAAAAAGAAAATAATTTTTAATTATTAGTCCAACAAGGACAACATAATACGAAATTTAGTGCCTCTTTTTGCAAGGAACTGAATGCAATCATTGCAGTCCGTTAAAGGTAGAGCGCAATAATCGCTTTCAAGACTAGTCGGTGTAAATTCATGTTTATATAATTGCGTAGATATCTTAATATCTGAGCGAGATCCTTTCAAGGCAACGAATTGCACCTTTAAAGTTGTTCTAGGCTCAGTTTTCAAGACTAATTGATATGAAAAAGATATTACGTTGGCTGATTCGGTAACGCCTTGATTGTTAAGTCTGGCTCTTATTATCCATAGTTCATTAAAAGCATGAAAATTTGTCGTTGTATAAAATAGCTGATGATTATTGCAATAACACATTAATTGCAAGTCGACACAAAGTATCCTCTCACTGTTCAATGAAAACATTAAACTCTGGAATATGTTTTCGATTTCATCATGTTTTGCTTCATCATTAGCGTCTATTGTTTCTAAGGTAGCGGCGATTTCTTGTGGAGTTTTACTTAAAAACTCACAGTCGCTTTCATGGCCGGACGCTTCCTTACGTACACCAATCCATTCACAACCTATGCGAGAATATTTGCAACATATCGGACTATCTTGACAGTCGTGACGTTCATGATGATCTAACGAACAATGAGGAAATTTCTCGTTGCAAAATCGGCAGTTACTCGGTAATTCGGATATTGCAAGTTCGGCTGCAATATTTCGCACTGGTATAGATATGTCTTTTTGACAAATGGGGCATTTCGGAGTTGCATCGCATAATTGTGCATCGGTCAAAAGATGCGCAAGACATGATGCGCATATTAAATGGCCCGTCTGGCACAGATACAAAGTCGTTCTACGTAATGCCAAGCAAATCTTACAACGCAATATATCCCGCAAATTGTTCTCAAATGCCTCGCTGTCCCTAACACCTGCTAAACACGCGGTCACGCTTGACTGCATTCTTGGCACTCTATCGCCAATTCCAGTCGCAATAGTTTCTAGTGAGCTGGTTATCGACTCCTCAACGGACTCTTGCTGTTCTTCTTGTTGTCGAACAATACTCAAGGAATCTTCGCTAAGTTCAGAACTCTCGATGTTCGACGATGACATTGCAACCCTTTTCTATTCATTCGTTTTCACACACACATATATATATATGTAAAAGAAAATTGCAAAGTCATTTAAAAAAATCATGTAAAGTATTTCTTCTTCTTTTCACTTTTACCCAAGTTCTTAAGTTCTTATAACCCAACAACAATAAATCGAACAGCCAAGATATGTAAAGGAACAAACTTCTCAATTACGAAAAACCACAGAAATGGACTTAAAAAACTTTTCAAACTCTTGATTGACTTTTAAATTATTTTGACAGAATACTCTATGAATGCGCGAGCGTTCAAAAATTTCAATTTTTTCACTGAGAAAAATCCAATAATCGAGAAGAGATGTAAAATTTCTGTTTGACGGGTTGATTTATAATAGTAGTATGAGTAAAATTAATTCAACATAGAAAATTTTGAATAAAAGCAAAATTCAAGGTCGAGAACTATGTCACGAAATTCGGCACAACTGAATACTTGCGCGTTAATTACGTAGCTGAAAGTTGACTTTCGTGATTAGATCCCTGACTTTACTTCCTATAACATACGATAAAAGTTGTGTTCTATCTATATTTTTATCAGACAAAGGTCCTATAGCCATAATGGGACATTAATTGTTCGTTATAGGAATAATTATGATTTTATAGCAGAATTCTTATTAATGATTATTGCTTTTAACCAATAAATTAAACTAAACTAAGCTAAATTAAGTTATTATTAATATATTGGGATTGTTCAATTTTTATTGAGAAAACTGGACCCGACTTTTCGGCAATTAATTTTCCATCTTATTAGACTCAAATTAAGAATATGTCGTGTCAAAGTGTCTTTAACGTGTAAAATTACTACGGGCACAAAGTCTTCAATCAATTAACTATATCGACCTTTTTAGCGATATAATTGTACAATCGCCAAGCAAAGAGTACGTTGCAATGACACAACTCGACGAAACGGTAAAAATGCTTTCTAAAGAAATAATAATTTTATAAGGAAATCGGACAAGGACGGATGGACAGACCATGACATATATATTCGTCATACACGGTTAACTGATATGACTACATGGAACTATGTTGCAACCATAAATAGACTTGCATTAGCGGTTCGCCTGTTAAGTGAATTTAAATTTAATGAAAAAAAAAAATATAAGTGGTAATCAAAAAGAGATATAGGTAGGTAGAGAGGGATATATGAAGGGAGAGCTGAAGGACTTCTACATGTACGTATATAGATAAACGTTTTAGTTTTTTTTTTCTTGGCATCTTATCGGATTTTCCTTAAGCTTTGCATATTAAAAGCAATTAAAAGTTTATGCTATGTTTTATATAAATGTTTTATAAAAACTAAAAATGTATATTTTTTTTTCTCGCTTAAAATATTTAAAGTTTTTTAAAATTTCAAACATTAAACAGCAATACATACTTAACATAAGAAGGCTTTATTTGTTTTACAAGTATAACTTAACTATAAAGAGAAAAAGCAAAAAAAGATGAAAAACAAAAAAAAAAAAAAAAAACCAAAATTAAAAAAAACCTTTCAATAAAAACCTATTCAAAAATCCAATCCTCATAAGCAAAGACTTAAATATTACCAATCATTCTAAACACATACTGGAGATAGTCGTACACACATACAATCGAAGAGATTTTCAAAAGGATACGAGGTATCCTCTCTCAATCTAAATACAATCATGCACACATACATTCGCATAAAAAGTTAAAAAAAAAAAAATAAAATAATAATAAAAATAAAAATAACAAACACTGCATACATCAACAATATATAAAAAACCCACATACACCTTTTTATACTTTAAAAAAATTCGTTTTTAAAAAAAAAAAAACAACAACAAAAAAAAAAAAAAAAAAAACAAACAAACAAACCAACAAAACAATTTCTATTGTTATTATTATATATTGTTATTAATATAAACCGAATGAGAAAAAGTAAACCATACATGTAAGCCTAGGGAATAGATATATGAAAAAAAAAAAAAAATTTGCTTTAAAATGCATAAATATTAATGAATAAAAAAAACATCTAATCCATCGGCACTTACAAAAGCTATGGTTGATATGGATGGTATACAAATGTAGTATTTTATGTATATCACATAGAGAAGAAGAAGAAGAAGAAGAAATATTGAAAAGAGAATAAACGATTTTAAATGTAGGAAAACAAAACCTTCATAATAAAAATAAGAAATTAAAAAAAATAAATAAATAAAAAGGATAAGAAAAAAAAAGTTAAATTCGCTTTAAAGCGTATCGTAAAAAAGCTCATCCATTACCTGAAGGAAGTATATATTAATAGAGGTATAACGTATTTTGCTGATTTGCCGGAAGAATCAGTTATGTCAACAGATTATCAATTGTATGAACGTTGGTATGTGAATATCGGTCGTAGGGTAAATTGTATTCGGAATCGAAAAACTGAAATAAATAACAAACATCTTACAATAAGTTAATGGCAACTGTACCAAGAGATCCATAAAAAGCTATTTTTACCGTAATTTAACTCTTAAGCAGCCTTGATAAGCCCTTAGGACAAATTTCAAGACCCTGATACCCACGATATATGCGGACAGAGAAAAATTTCTATATATTATGGAAAGTATTCCTAGCTTTATATTTATACCTACATATATGTATCATATTTGATCTAAGCCAGTTAAATGCGAGTTCGTCATGCGTTTTGAAGCATTTGGTCTTTGCAAATACTTATAGGCAAACTAATTTGAAACAGACTACTTTAGCATTTCTTTACCATGCCAAAGTGGCAAGCGGAACCACCTCCTCTCTCCCATGAGCAATAAAACTGATAAAAGTTATGGTCCTTGCACGCACGGACAGACAGGTAGCAGTATCACAGTGGCCGTACCGACTAGCAACAACGTTAAGTGTGAATCAGTTAGAATAAAGATTTAGGTTCCTCTAATTCCTAGGGACCTAGGCAGGCATGCAGGTATCTGCAGCATACTTCAATATTGCTTTGTATAACCTACACCACTTGAGGCGCAGCGTACATTACGCGTGTGCGAACGTATGTAACACCAGAAAGTACTTGAGAAAGACATTTTTTTTAGGTACACCGATCGATCGAGAATCAGTTGCTGAATCGGTCTAAACATATCTGTCCATCGGATGACGGTCCATGTATTTTTGTTGTCAACTTGAAGATCGCAATTTCTAAGATAGTTTCATGAAGTTTAAAATACGAACCTGTTTTGAAAATGGTTTCAATCGAAACACTATTTTGATCACTCTCTATAAAAATTTTCAAAAATTCGCAACAAAAATCTCTAAGTAGTATTCTAAATTCGAATCGGAGGGGGAATTTTTAAAACTCCCCGGACACTGAAGCTTTGTATAATAAAAAGATTTCATTTTCAATAATTCTTGATGAAAATTCGTGCATAATATGAAGTTGACATAAACAATAATTGCAGCGAATTGGACTCGATCTATTTTTAGATCCATTTTTATTAGGTTATTATATTTAGGTCGATTAGGTTTAGGTTATATTTTTAGGCTAATATATTTTAGACGGATCTAATAGGTTTTTTGTTTAGATCCAACCACATAAAGGGCTCGTGATGAAAAAGCAACACATCTATGACGACAAAGTCTAATTTGTATGGAAGCAGGTGGAGATTACAAAAATCTTTGACAAGTAAACTGAGTTTGCTAAATTTGGACAAAATTAGTCGACTTATTGAACATCAATTCAATATGAGATCTTTCACGAAAATTATGCTTTCACTTAAAGATAACGTATAATTTTTAATGTATTATCACGCAAATGAATGAAGTATCGATCGAGGTCGACTCTTAGACATCCTACATCACTATTATCATTGATTCATTTTATGTAAAAGAGCGACTCAATAATTAAGAATAGATGTAAATATATTTCAATTGTTTTATCTTTCCTCTGAGCATGACATTATGGCCCAATGTGCGAACAGCAATCAAAAGTGAAAAGGGATGGGGAATAATAAATGCGATTGGAGAGATAATGTATTGAAATTTTCAATTCTGTTTAGAGATCTTTTTTGAAAAACATCAGATAGTTAGCCTGAGATGGGTAGTAAAGCTTAGCGTCTTACAATCTTAATGAGAAATACATACGTAGTTTATACGCTTTCTTGATGCATCCTTCAAAGTATTTTAATCGCTACAGTGCCACAAAGCTATTAATATATTTCTATCCTAAAATGGTAGGGATGGGTATGATAATGTTAACACACACACACATATATGAACTATAATGAAGAATCAACTAACTAACTAAGTAACTCTGAAGCCAAACTGTTTTAGTTAAATAATTACCTAAAAATGTTTTATAAATTATTGAGAAAATAAAAAGAATAGAAAAGATATTCAAACATTTGATAAAATGCATGAATCTCTCGCAAGTCATATATAGAAGGTAATTATTTAACTAAATTAATCAAAATTCTAATTGTTTTCCCACCTTAAGAAAATAAAAAAAAAATCTATAAAATAAAACAAAAACGAAAAAAATTAAAATACTGCAGTGCCCATTTAAGATAAACATATATATGTATATATATATATATATATATACCTACCTACATATAGCTTCCATATATAAGTAAATATTGAATATAAAAAAAAAAAACAAAAAACAAAAACTAGTAAGTTTATGTAAAAGATCCACTTACTATACTAATTATTTTGTTTTCCAAGAATAATTTTTCACTTTAAAAGAGAAAGCAATAATTTACTTTAATCGATATAAGTCACCCTTCTTTTCCTTGAACGTTGGATATCGGCCGCTAGAAGAAGTCACTAAACATTTTCGTAATCGTTACGAAAGTGTATCAGGGCGTGAACGATTTCCATAATTCCGCTTAAAAATTTATATATGTTTGTCGAAAAGTCATGAGCAGTATCAGAGAGCCGTATTTTTACATTTTTCTCTTCACGTAGCTATTTAATATTTTTCAAATGGGCGTGATCGCTAAATTTAGACGTTTATCAAAACCGTCAGTTACCGTCTCAAGATTCTCTTAACTCTCTTCACTTGCATTTCTTTACCTTAGCTTGGCATCTATGGCATTATGAAGAGTTTAATTCTTATTCGAACTATTTTTATGATAGTAGTTCCGTTATTCTTCGAAACGGACAACTAGAATAATCAAGCTAAAGCACCTTAAAGGGAAATTCCCGTCGTTCAAGTGAATATTCAATGACTACAAACGGATACCTTTATGCATAAAGGAAGATAAAGTTGTGGTATAAATATGATTAAGGAATTGTATGCAGTCTTTTCCCGAATAAGGGCAATATTTTCAACCGATCTTTCTCTCTTGGATAAAGTCTACCTTTAGACTCTAAGATCCTTCCTTGTACTAAACTTGCACCGTACTTTGTAAAGTCTTTGACAAGGACATCTAAGAGCGATAGAGATAGATAGAGATAGATAGATAGATAGATAGATAGAGAGAGAGAGAGAGAGAGAGAGAGAGACAGACAGACAGACTGTACCAAGCTTTTTCCATTGAAGATTGATTTTCAGATGGTCTACGAAAATATTTACGAGAATGTTTTCTCAGTCAATATCTGTTATAGTGTGGGAGTTAATTGGGCGTGTGATACGATATTATTTGCCTATTTTTAGAGCTTATCTCTATCGAATAAGAGCATGTAATGCACAATTCCTATTTCAATAATTATATGTTTATATGGCTGTGAGTATATCATGTGGAAAGGTAAACTTCTGTGTGTACTATCATCCCATATTGGTGGCTGCAACAAGCAACATATCCTGTCTTCCAAGATTCTTATATATTAAAAACATGCAGTAGAGATTTCATTTATTGAAATATTTTAACTTCACAACTTTGTCTATCGATTTCTGAAAAATTGACCTCATATGCGTGAGAATATTAAAGAGCAAAAAATTGCAAAAAAAAAAGAATTTTTTTAACTTTCGGAGAGAATCATGGCACTGTTACTGCGATAAGGATACATAATGCTTGAAGCGGTGTTTAGAAAGTTATAACGCTTTTAATAGAAAACTTATTTTCAAGTTCGCGAATTTTAATTTTCAATTTCATACAAAGGAGAGATAAAAGTTTGTTCACTTATGACAAGCGAAAAATTAATTTTCCGAGAATAAGCCATAAAAGCAATTGTTTTATTGAAAAAAATAATATTTAAAAAGAAAATCAAATTATACATATATATATAAACATTAGTTCAATTAGCCGAGACTTTTTTTATATTTTCTTTTATATTTTTAATTAAATTTATGAATAAATAATTATATCTATATATTATATATGCATATATTATACAAACCACACACGCCCACATGCTTATGAAATATATATATATATATATCAATATATATATTACTGGGTGTATAATATATAAGTATATATAATCAGAAATAAAAAAAAAAATATAGAAAAAGAAAGATGAAAATTTTCGTTTCTCCTAATTGAACAAACTGTTATATATATGTATATATATCTATGT